AGTTTTAATTTGAGTTGTTCTCTATCATTTTTTTTTTTTTTGGTTTATTTTCCGAATTTTGCTAAGGTTTTACTATTTAAAGCATTGTAAGTCCTTTGAGACCGCAGTTTTTGAATTAAATAAAATTTCTCGTGAGTTTTTCACGTCTCTGTGAGGTTGTTCATCTTTCATATAATCTTCCTCCACGTCACTTGGGAATTGATCGAACCTGCCCTCTAATGATTGACTTCCCTAGAAAACTCACTACCAGAAAGCATCAAAGATTAAAGGCTTGTTTGGAATTTGGTGATATAAAGTTGTCTGTTGAAGTATTGAAGAAGGCTGAGAGTTGAAGATGGTAACCGACAACGAAATAGGTATTTGAGGTGTTTTTATTTGGGGTTTTTTGGGCTTTTTTTTAGGCCTCTTATTATTTGATGCCCAAAGAAGTGGCTTGGGTATTTTTTTTCTTTTTTTTTAGGGGCCCCTAAAAATTTGAGGCCAAGGCGGTGGTCTTAGTTTCCATGGCCAAGGCCGGTCCTATATGTGTAGTTCGAACCAGAGTACAAAATACACAATTTTGTATTTCATTTTCCTAATGTTGTTATATTTGTTTCGAAAGTAAGATTTAAATTATTTTGAAGTACCTAAAAGAAATGTTTGTCTCTCAATTTGAGATTGGGATTGAACATTACAATTAGGAAAAGATAATAGGCACGAGACGAAAAGTATGTTTTAATGTGTTTCCATTGCAACGCGTCTGAAATAACAGAGAATCTTCAACAATGAAATGTAAGAAGGCTAAATAAATATTTAACATTGAGGGTATAAAAATTTCAATTGGGGAAATGGATTCACACTGAATTGAAGACAAAACCATGTTTAAAAAATTGTAAAACAAAGTGCATAGTTCCCCTCACCATCAGGCAAATTAGCTTCATGACAAAAAATAGTTATCTCGATTCAGTAACGAATCAAAGTTGCTAGACAATTATAATTCCATTCAAGATCTATGTGAATAAATTAAAATGAATTCCTTTAGTACTGTTTCGAGGAATATGAAAAAAAATACAGTGAAGCGATGTTTACGCCTTCATATTTTTGATTTTGCATTCACCAATTTAACTAGAATATCTTTCAAGATATGAATACCATATTGTATCATGGACTATAAACAATTAATATAACAATTCAGTTCAATTACCTTACCCGGACGAAAATTTAAAAAAAAAAAAAATTAAGTCTCACAAATACCGTAAAATAACATTGTTAATCATGCATCGTGTACAAGTTATAGTAATTTTTTTATTAATTAAATTAAAATTTTGTAAAGAATGTGCAATAATTTGTAAAATGTAACGGGTAGATTCATCTGTTACACTTTTAAGAGCAAATAGTTTCTTTCGAAGACTAATGTTACTAACCCCACGAGTCCTTTCGAAAACAACATTTTATAGATGTGTATATAAATATTGAATTCAAGTTATGTCACGATGTCAAAAATTCCATTAATTTTAAGGTTTTCTTGAGCCAATTTTTTTGAAAAAAAAATAGATTTTGTAATGATAATTTTTTTTTTTTTTTTTTGAGAATGTGCTGTTAAAAAGTATGAATTTTTTTTTTAGTTTTATGTGTAAATTATTTTATTGAAAGAATGTGAGAATGAGAATGAATTTGAGAAAAAAATAATTTTTTAAGAAATAGAGCTCAAACAAACAGAGGCTTAGTAATGATTATAGACAAAATAGTTAAATTGAAATGAAAATATAATTTGAATCATCAAATGGAAAAAAACATAATAAGTGGATGGTTAAATTTTTTAGTTTAGTGACCAATATTAAACAAGCTTGTAAGTTAGATGACCTCCAGCTAAATTTGCTCGCGGATTTAAACATGGCACATTGATTTTAACGAGGTTTTAATTTGACCGTTAGATTGTTGAAGCTATTGGTGAGTCCAGCTCATACGCGACGGTGAACGTGGGGGATTAGAAAGCCGTCATCAATTAGGAACAAGTAGGGTTTGATTGGGTCAAAGTCAAATTAGAAGTTTTTCAACCGGGATTAAAAATAATTTTTTAATAATTTTTAATAAAAGTTGATGAAATGTGTAATTAATAAATTGATGAAATGTGTAGTCAATGTGGGCCAGCTTCCCACACACTCAATTTCAAAAAATTTAAGTTTTATTTTAAATTTCTTATAGTTAGCGATTTTGTCCTTACGATATAAATTTTGTATTTTAAGATTTTGTCCCTAAGATTATAGTTATATAAATTTGCCTTCACAACTCTACAATTCTAACTCTACTCCGTGTGTAATTAAAATTAGTTATTGACTTTGATTTAAATTAAAATTAAAATTTTAATTTTCACCAAACATTGACTTAATAATAGCATGTCCAATTTTGGGTCGACCCAGGTTTGTCAAATGTTGGGTCAACAAAGATTGTCCGAGAGCTGATGAGCATTTCACATTAGATTTGGCACATCAACCTCATATGTAGGGGTTGGCGCGGTTCGGTTTGGGTTGGTTTCGAC